TTCTGCCACAACACTCCTGCACCATCCACACACTGCAAACCTGTGTCCTGAGCCCATCACACACCCAACCTCACTGCCGTGAACCCCTTATACAACACAACCCAAAATCCTGCCCCCTCACATCCACAAGCCTGCGGCTTGCTCAGCACCCCAACCCTCCACCTAACCTCAACACTTTCCAGCCTGGAACCCCCTCCCTGAGCCAGTATCCCCTTCTTCATCTCCTCCTGCACTCAAATTCCCTCCCAGAGCTTGCACTTCTCACCCCTTCCACTGCCGTGAACCCCTTATACAACACAACCCAAAATCCTGCCCCCTCACATCCACAAGCCTGCGGCTTGCTCAGCACCCCAACCCTCCACCTAACCTCAACACTTTCCAGCCTGGAACCCCCTCCCTGAGCCAGTATCCCCTTCTTCATCTCCTCCTGCACTCAAATTCCCTCCCAGAGCTTGCACTTCTCACCCCTTCCCATACCCAAATCCCTCATTTCCATGCCAGACCCGCACCTCCTGTCTCAGCCCAGTGAGTAAGGGCTGGGGATAGCAAGTGATGGAGAGGAAGGGAATGGAAAGGGCGGGGCCTCAAGGAAGTGGTGGGGTCTCAGGGAAGGGATGGGGTAGATCTTGGCTTGCCGTGACATTTAAAAAGTGATCTTAGGTGTAAAAAGTTTGGAGACGACTGTTTTACAGCATGGAATAGGAATGTTAGCTATCAGTTAATTGAACAGTTAGGTAACCACATGAAATCTTTGTAGTTACTCGACTATTCTATTGTCCCCAGTGACGGGTCTTGCAGTCAGTGCAATTCAGCCCCACTCCCAAAGAGCCTCCTGTCTCCCCTCTCTTTAAAAACTAGCTCTCCTCGTGGACCGCAGTCCGGCTACCTGCTGTCCCAACTGCTGCCTCTGACACAGAGACAGCAATGCCGTGTGGCAGCAGCCCCTGTCCGCAGGTGAACTGGTCTGGTCTCCAGCTATGAGTTTGTTAGATCTTAGCTAATGCCTGCAGTCTCAGCAACAGCTGGCACCTGTTTTGCCAGCATCACTTGCACTAAAATGGTATTAGATGGATCAAGGAGAAAGATGTTGATACCTTTAATCGCTGTATCACTGATGTAAATCCCGTCCAAATCAGTGGTGACTATACAGTACAAGTTGAACTTCTCTAAACTGGGACTCTCTGGTCCGGCAACATCTGCAGTCCAGGAGGAAGCCAGAAGACCTTTGTGGTAGCAGGCTCTGGCATGGCAGTGGGTTCTGGGGGGCTGGGAGCCTGATGGAGCAGCAGACTCCAACAGGGGTGGTTTCCTCAGCTTGGTAGCACTCTACCTGGTTAAAATGGAGGCACTATGGAACAGAAACAGTCAGGACTGTCTCAGACCATTAGAAATCAAAATGAAACAGAGATCGCTTAAGTGACCAGCATACAGCAGCACTGAGGAATTCTTGCCATCTTACTTGCATATTTCAATTAATATTCTCAGGAAAAAAAAATGTTTTTACTTAAGTGCTTTTTTCCTAAACACTCACCGAGAGATAGAAAAGAAATCTAAGTGGAATGAAATTACTGTTGTAATTAGGACAAGCTTGTTATGTTAGAGGCCTATTTAATAGTTGTATGCAGAAACTGCCATAATTAAAAAGCAGATTTTGACAATAATAACCATAGTGTAGAATATAAAAGTTACATTTACAAAAACATATTAGTGTCACAAAATGATACAAACTAATCCCTTCAGGAAACATGTATTTCAAACAAAACAGCTTAAATGGAAAAGCCTTTTTGGGAAGTGCATAAAAGAATACCTGCCTGTTTGCTCTAGGAACTCCTAGGATGGACATATATAAGCCACAAAAGGCAATTCTGAAAAGAACCTAGACAGAGATGATCACATCAGACAACAGAGTAAGTTTTATGGGTACAAAACTTCAGCAAAAATCATGTACTTCCTTTACAATCGGCAAAAACACGTACTTTAGTATTTTATTCTAAATCAAGGCAGACCAGATGACTCAGAAAATTGTAAAAAACCTTCTACATTTCCCAATGTTGATATTACTTAAGAGTTTCATATAACGCACTATAGGCTGGATCAATATATTTGAATATTTTAACAACAACAACAACAAACAGATCAATAACCCAGCCCCAAGAGAACTGGAAAAACAGAAATACATATAGGAAATAGGTGTGTACATGTTCTTATACAGTACATTTAAAAATTGTTAAATGTTAGACTTTAAATATTAAAAAAGCTACATACAGAAAAAAATATCCTTTACAATAGCTATACAGTTTATTTTATTTTTAAAACACCAACAATATGAACAATGCTGGTCAAGAATCAAAACAAAGAGAGTGTCTAGCCCTAAAATATAAAAGACAGAAACAGAGAAAAGAGATTTCTCATACAAGCAATTTAATGTTATTTGGTAAAGATTTCATGTGATTAATTTAAGGTTACTTGCCCAAGATACCACAATTAGAGGTAATATGTAAAATGTTGTAAGCTTTATATCTTTAAATGGGCATGAAGGGGTCTAAATTCTAGTCTACACTAAGAGGAATTTGCCAATATAGTTATACTGGTAAAGCTATACGAGCAAAACCTTTTAGTGTAGAGTTAGGTTGGTGTAAAAGTGCCTATACCATATAACTCATGCCTGTTCTCCAGTCTGGCATCAGCTATACTAGTAAAAGTACAGTAATACTAGTATAACTGCACCTATTCTAGAACTTTTACAGGTGTACCTATGTTGGTAAAACAAAACAAAATTGAAACAAAAAAAACATTGCCACTCATACAACAGACACCATTATTCTGGTAAAACTTTTTAAGTATAGGCTAGGCCTAAGAAATAGCTAGTAAAATACAGAACGGATGACTGACTGACAGTTATTTTCCATATTTCGACTGTATAGTTTACACACTGATTCATGAAAGGCCTTATGTTGCAGCCTCTTGCAATATTGTCATGGGATTTGTGATACAGTACTTGGTTTTTTAGTTCAAGACCAAGATTCTGTGCATAACTCACTAACCTCTGACTCCATCATTGCTATTGATAACCTAGTTCAAACTGCATTTATTTTCGTGCAAATGTTAAGTTATTTTAAAGACAGAACTAAAAATACAATTTGAAAATAAGCAATTTTCAAATGCCTCATGTCTAAAGTTAAACTGGCACTGCTAAAATTAGTACAAACTAAATTTATATTCTAGAAGGAAACTATTATTTGATGGTACCTCTTTAAACAATTAATGACAAAACACAATATGCTAATAAAAGTAATAATCATAATTACTCCAGCCAAGACAGATTAGGAATTTTAGAACTCACTACTCAAAACTTAAATGAATTATGAATGCATAGATCAATGAAAAAACTAAAATAACAGCACTTTGAAAGACTTATAGAGAATATATGTGTTTGCTCATGCCTTGAGTGCAGGGAACTGAACTTGATGACTTCTCAAATTCTAGTACTCTATGATTTTATGTGCATTGCAGAAGGAACCAAGAAATAACAACAATACAAGTATGCATTGAGGGTTAAGTTTATGAAAGAGATAGTGGCTATGACTCTGTGCGAAAAAACTGTGTATATGTGTGTGTATATGAGAGACAGAGGATGTGTGTGAGAGAGACAGAGCGTGTGTGTGTGTGAGAGAGAGAGAGATAAATGCAGTGTGTGTGAGCATGAGAGACAGAAGCAGTGTCTGTGTGTGTGTGAGAGACAGTGTGTTTGTGTGTGCTGGGGGTGTGTGCTGTCCTTTTAAGAACAGTGGCATTCAACAGTCTGAAAGCTTGTTCAGAGAGCAGCACCCCTAGCTGTTCCACTTCACTCCTGAGCCTTGTCTCCCATTTTCCCGCTCAGCAGAGATGGGGTACATATGCAGGAGACATCCTGACACCAGTGCTTTCTCTCTTCTGCACAGCAGACAGAAAATCTGGTCAGGGTGGCTCCAAGGCAGGGGCCAGAGGTGTCCTGCTTATAACAGCCCTCTGAGCTTTTGTCCTGTTCACCCGTATCAAAGGCCAGCCTTGTGTAGGATAGGTAGAATTGTGTGCCACCAGCAAATTGCTAGCATTTGACCCCATGTCATCTGACCAGTTTTCTTAGCGTTTGCATGAAGATGCTGAAAAGGATCACAGAAAAACACAAATTTACTTTTATCTAGTATCAGCAAGGAGAAGAGAGCCCAAAGAAGGAACATTCTAGTTCTGTGGCTAACTGTTGCCTGGAGCTATTTTTAATTTTTGCTGAGCTCCTAGATGGTTTATAAATTGCTGAATGCACAAACAAAATTAAAATTAATATAAAAAGTCATCCAACAAACTATGAATTTATACGTGGCTGAAAATAAAATAAATACTATATTGTATTACTATCTTAGCCTTCAGCAGTACTAGCATGATGAAATAAAACTCTGTAAGTATATTATCAGGAAAAACAATTTCTTTTTAATCACCTCTCATACATAAATGTGTCCTCTGTCTTACTGAGATGCATCTATTTCTTAGTTAACTTCTTTATCTTCTCTGCCCTTTCAAAACTTTATTGTGGATTCTTCACAATTTTGAGTTTAGTTGTCATTTTTAATGCAATCCTTGTTTCTATCAAAATCATATTTTTAATGCCAATAGAGACATAGATATTCAAAATGACCATGTTCCTCAGTTCTTCTGAATGAAACTGAATAAAATGTTGGATTAAAAGGTCAACTTTACAAACGCACACAATAAATTTACTGATAAAAAACTATTCTAACAGCATCCGACACCTTCACCACCACCACACATTACATTATTCATGTCATCCTCACTGAATTATAAGCCAAGCAAATCAAAAGATGGGGCTTGTTGACTGCTTGTGACTAGCAAAATTTCTTTTGTGCTCACAGTGCTGAAAGCTGATCTAGAAGCACGTCTTAAATTAATGAAGCTGATGCAGGGAAACAGAGCATAGACACTTAATCACTTCCTTCAGCACAAAGAATCTTACCTATCATTAATCCCCAGTATGCCCTTCCTCCACGTGCACACTTCCACAGCCATTGTGAAGGGGAAATCATCATTCTTCTCACTGTAAATCATGTAGAGATGCTCAGCAAATAAACAAAGTCTTACAATCAATTAAGATCCCTTAGTGGAATGAAAAGCTGAAAATTATTTAAACCCTCAGAAGCAAACATATTCCAAAGATTTCCCAAGAAAAAATTAATCACAGATATTTATGATATTATAAAATTAAGAAATAAAGGCCTTATTTATCTTAGGATTGTCTATATAGCAATCATCACCATAGGCTACAGTTCCCTCAGATCTCTTCCTCCCAGCTCCATATTATAATTTCGATTTCCCTTTGCTTTTCTTATTCTCCTCATTCTTTCCTTGTCTTTACTCCATAAGCCTGATCCCCCCTCTATTGTCTGGCTCCTATGTAGCTGTCTAGACCTGTTAAAAGTTAGTGCAATGTAGGTTCAAAATGCTGACAAATCACAATTTTCTGTTCCCTTAATACCTTGAATATTATGTACAGTTCTGGTCACATCATCTTAGAAAAAAGATATATTAGAATTGGAAAAGGGCAACAAAATGTATTAAGGGTATGGAACAGCTTCCATATGAGGATAGCTGGGACCATTCATCTTAGAAAAGAGATACCTAAGGGGGGGGGGGAGGAGTATAAAGAGATCTATGAAACCATGAATAGAGTGATGACAGTGAATAGGGATGCGTTGTTTACCCCTCTGCAAAACACAAGACCCTAAGTCACCCCATTAATTAATAGGCAGCAGGATTAAAACAAACAAAAGGAAGGACTTTTCAGACAATGGTTAGTCAACATATGGAAACTGTTGCCAGGGGATGTTGTGAAGTTCAAAAATGTAAGTGGGATAAGAAAAGAAATGTATAATTTCATGGAGGACAAATCCTTCAGTGGCTATAGCCAAAATAATCAGTACCCCCTGTCCCAGGTGTCCTTAAACCTCCAGCAGCCCGAAGCTGGGACAGGATGACAAGAGATGGATCAATGGAAATTGCCCTGTTCTGTTCACTCACTTTGATGCATCTGCTAATGGTCAGTCAGAAACAGGATACGAGCTAGATGGACCATTGGTTTGACACAATATGGCCATTTTTATTTTCTTACTTTGATGGTAACAAGACTACACAAGGTGCAAGGCATGGAAAATCAAGTACTACTGTCCATCCTTTCCTATCTTCCATATTTTATCATCCTGCACTCACCTATCACCATATACTGATATTTTCCATTTTTTGCTTTATTCTTCCTTCTTTTGCTCTGTACTTTGGGCATCCCTCTTTCTTAGATCTTCTCCAAGTAATCCACCTTCTCTCACTGTCAGTGTAGGGTTGCTAATATCCTGACTGCAAAAACCTGACTATTTTTGCTATGTCCCTTCTCCAAGGCTCCACCTCTGCTCACTCTATCACTCACTGTCCCCGACCCTTGCACATTTTCACCAGGCTGGAGCAGGAGATTGGGGGGAGGAGAGGGCTAAGAATGAGGGATTTAGGGTACAGGCTGGGGCTCTGGTCTGGGACAGGAGGTTGAGGTATAGGCATTGGGAGGGAGTCTGCATGCAGGAGAGGCTCAGGGCTGGAGCAGGGATGTAAGAGAGGTCGCAGGTGCCAGGTGGTGCTCAGCTCAGGTGACTCCTTGGAATCACCTAGCATAACCCTTAGGTTTCTAGGCAGAGAGGTAGCTAGGGAACCCTACTGATGTCTGCAACACCCCTGCATCTCCCTCTGGCCATGGATCCTGACCAATGAGAGCTGCAGAATTAGGGCTCTAAGGAGGGCCTGCATCACAGGTGGAGGAAGCAGGCAGAGCCCTCCTAGCTGCACCTGCCCCTTTCAACTGTACTAACCCACCTCTGCCTTCTAAAAACAAAACAAAACAAAACAAAACAAAACAAACACTGCTTAAAAGATACTATGAAGTATTACAGTTATTGTGTGGATTTAACTTGCTACAATTTATAGCTTATTTGCAAGACCTATTCTAGCCGCATGAAATCTCTGTATGTATTCAAATATATTAGTCTGCGTGTTGAGGTGTTCATAGAACTTCCTTTCAGATGTAGTTTCTTGGTTCCTTAAAAGCAATACCTAGACCAGGGGTGGGCAATAATTTTTGGCCAGGGGCCACTTCAAAAATTTTTGAAGTGGCCATGGGCCAGGACAGAAGGGCTGGGGTCAAAATGCTTCTGGGCTTCCTCAGCCCCAGCCCCGCCCCCTGATTGGCCTGGAGGTGGGGGGAACGCGTGAAGCTTCCTCCCACCCTAACCCGCCCTGTAGCTCCTTTTTTGTGCCTTAGACTTTCTAATTATATCTCTACATCCAGTTCCTCCCTAAAAAAGCCTGTCTCTTATAGCTTTCTCCACCTTCTAAAATAAAAATGTTATCTTCAATGCATTCTATGAACTACTTGGACAATCAGTGCCCTGCTATATTCATTTTCCAACAGATGCCTCGGCAGTTTAAGTCTCCCCATCACCACCAAGCCCCATGCTTTGTATAATTTTGTTAGCTCAAAGAAAGCCATGTCATCCACCCCATTGTCCTAGTCAGGTGATCTGTAATATGGATTTTATAATGCAGTTAATCAAGTAATTGTGTAACTGCTGAAAAATTTCAGCAGTTACATGGTTACACACAGGGGAGCAGTTGGCTCCCATCTGCAGTGCTCTTTGCCTTGTACTGGCTCCTGCCTCGAACTGCTACCTCTGATACAGAGGCAGCAGTGTGGCAGGATGGGGGGAAGTGGCTCCCTGGGAGTTAGTGGGTGTAGGCAGCCAGCTTTGAAGCATAGGAGGAGTCTGCCTGTAACTGTGAACGTTAACTTTAATTTCATGTTTGACTTACTTCTGGGCTTCTCTCTCAAAGGTGGCTGAAGTTAAAAGCCTAAATACATAGTTGGGCATCTGAATAAAAGAGATCTAATTTTTATCAGTGCTCCTTCCATCTCCCTGTGCAACGCCTCCCCACGGAACTGTGCGTGTGTTGGGAGGGGTCCGCTCCCCACTGAACTGTGCGTGTGTTGGGAGGGGTCCGTGAGCCCCTTGGCCTCAATCCCAGACCAAATGGAAGCTGGGGTTGGGTCAGCACTTTTTGAAAATTCTGTTCGCTTCCGTGTAGGTGTCTAATGTACATTTTGAAAAAACTTAATAAACAACGAATGGTCTGGTAGTATTTAATAGACTAACAAAACATGGAGATGGCATCATGAGCTTTCGAGGGCTCAGGCACCCAGAGGTGAAAACTGGAGCTTTGCTGGGGAATGGGCCTTTCCCGTTGGCTAACACAGAAATGCTGCCCCCTCCGGGCTTGTGTGTTATTGGAAAATGGCACAAACCCCTTTACACGCCCCAACAAGGAAAACAACAGCCAATAAAAGAGATCTAATTTTTATCAGTGCCTCCCCACTGAACTGTGCGTGTGTTGGGAGGGGTCCGTGCCGCTACGGGAATCTCTGGCCACCAGATGTGTGTGCGGGGCCCTGCATGTTGCATTTGTACAGCACCGTGCACAGCTGGCGGGGGGAGGGGCTCATACCTTGGCGCGGGTTCGCAGCGCCTGCGCAGCTGCAAACAACGCAGGGGCTCCCACTACAGGAACCCCCACCGGGCTCCGGGCGCGCGGCACGAAGGGCTGTAAGAGCAGCACGACGGAGATGTACACGTCACTGGAAACCCCTCCACGTGAGATCCCTTCCACCCTGAACGTCCCCTCCCCCCCCCACTGGCGCATGCGCAGAGTGCAATAATCCACCCTCCTCTCTGCGCCCGCAAAGGCGGGGCCCATCCCATCGCCGTTTAACGCATGCGGACTAGGAGAAGGTGGCCTGCGGCCTGCCCAACGTCCGTCCCCCCCCAGCGGCGGAAGTTCCGGTGCATTTTCTCGTTCCGGTTCCGGGTCCGTGCCGTGGCGTCTGCAGTTGCTACGTGTCCTTAGCGCGAGCGGTTTGGTGCCGGTGCCCCAGGTGAGAGCGGCGACGGGGCTGGTGCGTGGCGCGCGGGGTTCTTGAGGAGCGGAGGGGTCCGAGCGGCGCCGCTTTCTGTGTGGGGCCCGCACCCGTCCCCGAGCAACGCGCCGGGCTCTGGCCGCTGGGAGCCCCCTCGGTGATGTGGAGCGGGGAGGGGGGGGATGGCGGTGTGTGGAAAAGATGGGGGTCGCCCTTGGGGCTGTAACGGGCCGGCGAGCCTCGCTGCGGGCCCGGGGGTTCGCTGACCTGATGTGGGAGGCCGGAGTCGGCTTCCAGCCCGCATTCAGCGAACCCTCCTCCCTACTGCCCCCGGGTCCGAGGGCTCCAGGCCGGTCTCCTCTGGGTGCCAAGGGAAAGGAAAGCTCGAATCCGGCGACATCAGCGATCTCGGATGGTCCACTAAATCCTGGCCCTAATCTACGTCGTCTAAGCCTGGGTCACCTCTTTTCCCCTTCTCCTTTCCTGCTGGCAGGCCCCCCCCCCCCCCTGTAAGGATCTTGGTGAGTCATTCTCCTCCTTTCCTTCAGCTTCAGGAAGAAGCAAATGATGAATTACGTCAGGGTCCTGTTCCCTATCTCTGGCTGTTAAGTTGTGTGGTAGTACAAAGAATAAAAACTAGTATGAACATACCAAATGTTGGGGCTAGGGGTGTTAAGGACTAGTCGCTCCTCCTCCCCCTCTCCCTCGTGCTGCCTCTATCAGATAGGGGAGGGATGGGGGTATTTCAAAGGGGCAGTGCCACAGGGAGCCTGGGATCAGCTGTGCGTTTCAAAGCAGCAGCGCAAGGTGGAGCCTGGGATCAGCGGGGGGAGTCCTCTAGACTAATTGAATAGTCGATGCAAAAATGTGTTGACTATTCAATTAGTGAATTACATGCTACTTACATACTTGGTTGAGGCATTATATTGCTCAGTTCCAGCTCATGCTGGGTTCAGGAGCTCAGACCACCCATAGACAGAGGCTGCTGCCACCCTGCATTGCTGCCTCTATCAGAAGCAACAGCACAGGGCGACAGGTAGCTGGTCTGCGATGGGAGCTGGTTTTTAAACTGGTTCCCCTCGCGGATCAGCTCCCACCTGGAACCCAACGCTGGTGCCTCTGATAAAGAAGCAGCAGCACAGAGTGGCAGGAGACTCCAATGGAGTGAGGCCAGAGCTCACTAGCTACCAGCACCACCCCACAGGGACTATAGAATCCTCCACTAATGGATAAGCATTCATGAAGTTACTCATCTATTCAGTTAACGGATAAGAAGTACCCCTAGTGTTAACTAGTGATGTGAGGGGTTAACTGGTAAGCCTCATCTTTAATGTGTGAGACTTACCTGTTCTGGTTAACCGGTGGGGGCTGCTCCAGCCTGGGCTGGAGGGGAGAAAAAGAGAGGAGGTGGTACTACAACTCAGCTGAGCTGGAGTGGCCTCTCTGCCAGCTCCCCTTTAATCGGTTAAATGTAAAGCTTAACCCATTCACCTTGCATTTCTCAAACTGTGGGTCCCAACCCCCTGAGAGGGTTGCGAGCAACTTTGAGGGGGTGGTGCAGCAACTTGGGGGGGGGGGTCGCAGTATCACAAAGTTTGAGAACTCCTGCATTAACTTATTAAACAGGATTAACTGAAACTTGAAGATCTCTGAAAGGCATCACATGGCAGCTGGATCTTGTCCTTTGTATATGCAAAAATCTCATTTCCTATCTAGAATTTGGATTATGGTGCACTCTTCATATTGATAATCCCATTGAAATGTGTTCAGATATTTTACAGGTGAAAAATTTGTGATAGTATATCAGAAAGCGAGTTAGATTCTTCTTTGTTTACTAATTTTTATACTTTAAAATAGTGGAGACAAATGAAAATACAGGCAGTCCCCGGGTTACGTACAAGATAGGGACTGTAGGTTTGTTCTTAAGTTGAATCTGTATGTAAGTCAGAACTGGCGTCCAGATTCAGCCGCTGCTGAAACTGATCAGTTTCAACAGCGGCTGAAAAAACTGCCAATGACAAGGAAAGCCTTGAAACTAAAAGTAGTAGATGGTATCTATTTTTCATCAGAGCATTTTTGCATGCACTTGTGAATTGTAGATATTTTAATTCTACTTCACTTTCGCTATACAGGCAGTCCCCGGGTTACGTACAAGATAGGGACTGTAGGTTTTTTCTTAAGTTGAATCTGTATGTAAGTCGGAACTGGTGTCCAGATTCAGCCGCTGCAGACCAGGGGGATGGGGAGCAAAGCGGCGGAACACGCGGGCAGCGGGCAGCCCAGACGCGTCTGGGCTGTCCGCTGCTCGCGTGCTCTGCGGCTTTGCTCTGCTTTGCTCCCCGTCCCCCTGGTCTGCTGGGGAGCAAAGCAGAGCAAAGCCGTGGAGCACGCGGGCAGCGGACAGCCCAGACACGTCTGGGCTGCCCGCGTGCTCCGCCGCTTTGCTCCCCGTCCCCCTGGTCTGCTGCAGACCAGGGAGACGGCTCCGTTTGTAACTGCGGTTCCAACATAAGTCGGATCCGCGTAACTCGGGGACAGCCTGTAGAGGGAAATGAGGAGAATGAGAACATCAAATAGACCTGAAGTGGATGTAAGAATTGGATGTCAGAGTTCATGGTTCTTTGGATTGATGAATTGACTGTTCTAATGGACATGCATCCATCTCTTGGATGCAAAATATAGATTTCCTACAGCTTTGTAGACTTAAATCCCCTAGAAACCTGACATGTATGATTAAACATTAACATTTTAACATTCAGTACAACATATACAGTAGAAGGGCAGGGGTGCACAGGGAGAATTTGCCTTTAAGATATGAAATGATTTTAAAAAGTTACTCTTGAAGCTATGTATTAAAATGTGACATTCTTGCAGGAAGTCATGGATCAAGTAATGCAATTTGTCGAGCCCAGCCGTCAATTTGTAAAAGATTCCATCAGGCTTGTTAAAAGATGTACTAAGCCAGACAGAAAAGGTAAAGTATGCAAAAAGAAAGATTAAAGGAAAAAAGCCCCTAGGACCATGATGTTCATTTCACTTGATATTGTCTGAAACCGCCCCCCCAACCAAACAGGCAGACCCAGTATTTAGGTATAGTAATGGATATCCATTTTTCATGTTAACTGAATCTCAATTTTGCACTTGTGTAGCAAACTATTTATTTTCACAATTTTGTCTGAAAAGCATGAGAAGCTCTTACTTCTGTGTATAACTTAAACTACAGAAGACTCACTTACAGTATCATCTGACCTAAACAGGACCGACACATGGTCAGATTACCGAATATGTCAGATGATACAGACTCTACTGTGTATCTTGGCCCCATCCCTACCTGGCCATGGCCCCTTCTCTCCCTGCAGCTCCCGGGCGCCTGGCCCCGCTCCCTGCCCTATCCCTCTCCTGGAGGCGTCCCGGCAGCAGCAGCTTCTCGCAGAGAGCGACGGGGCAGCAAGCGGGGCCAAGACCGCGCTGTATACGACCCTGCAGCTCCCCGGGAGCTGCAGGGTCAGATAAAGTGGAGTGTTGGATTACTGGGTGTTGGTTAATCCGGACTTCACTGTACTTTGAAAGTTTTGTGGTATACATCTTGCTGAAATCAGACTTGTGATAGCAGCAGTATGGTAGTGTCACTTTAAGCTAAAGTGTTTCTGAAATGTAAATTGCTTAATTTCAGAATCCTTTTGATAATGACTTCTATGGACACTTCACAATTGGTATTTGAGTGCTCAAATCTTGTCCAGTGTCACTAACTTGATTTAATTTTTCTTTCGGAAAGTGAATGCATTAGTACTTTAAATTAAATTTAACATTCCCATTGTTAAACAATCAACTAATTGACTAGTTGCTGGATTTTCCATCAATTAGTTGATAAGTGGGGAGCTGCAGTGGGGTTAGCTCCTGGCTTGGAAGCTAACCCCACTGTGGCTCTGCCTTCTAAATGTTTTGGTGCTCAGCAGGGGTACCCAGTGCAAGCCAGGAATCAGCTGTCCCGGCTCATGTTGGGTCCCCTCCACTGCCCTTTAGCCTTTTAAATGTATTTGGGTCCCCTCCGCTGCCCTTTAGCCTTTTAAATGTATTAAGAGCCTGACATTTTACATCTCTTGTTCACAATATTGTCAGTGACTTAAGTTCAAGTTTCCTTTAAGCCAGATAAGCTATATGTGATTCTATATATGGCAGGGCTGCCAAGTGATTAAAAAATGTAATTGCAATTAGTCGCATGAACTGTCCCTTTGAAATGCTGTGAGGATGTTTCAAAGGGGCAGTGCTGCAGAGGCCCGGAATCATCTGGAGTCCTCAGGTGACCCCAGGTTCAGTGCAGCTTCCCGTTTGAAACGCAGCAGCGGTGATACAAAGGGGCAGCACTGCAGAAGCCCGAGATCAGCTGGAATCCCCAGCTGACCCTGGCTCAGTGCAGCATTGCCCTTTGGAAAGGCCACCCTGGGCCCTTTGGAAAGGCCGCGGGAGCCTGGGGTCAGCTGCCCCTTGGAAACGCTGGACCAGCACTACAAAGGGACAGCATAATGTAGACCCAGGGATCATTTGGGCACTGCAGCTGATCCCAGGCTCCATGTTGCATTGCCCCTTTGAAGCACTGCTCTGCTGCTTCAAAGGGGCAATGTGTTAGGAGCCTGGGATCAGCTGGAGTGCCTAGCTGATCCCTGGCTCTGTGTTACGCCGCCCCTTTGAAGTGCCAGAGCAGTGCTTCAAAGGGACAGAGCAGCATTAATGCGTTAAAAAAATCAACGCATTAATCCTGCCTTGTGTTAATCGCAGGATTTGATCAATTCACAGCCATAATATATGGTAATCTCACAAGTATTAATCTCTAGAAACCTAGTGTTTATTTTTAGAAATTACTGTCTTTGTCTTCAGATATTACCATCTTAAGTGAAACTTCTGAAGTACCTTTTTTTTAACATGGGAGAAACTTTCAAAGTCGCTAATCTCTCCATGATCTTTGTAGTAACTTAATCTACTGCATGTTTTAAGTAGTAGGTTTACATTTGCAAAACTAAAATGTATAATTTCTTAAATTACAGAATTCCAGAAGATTGCCATGGCAACAGCAATAGGTTTTGCAATAATGGGATTTATTGGTTTCTTTGTGAAATTGATCCATATCCCTATTAACAACATCATTGTGTAAGTAAATCTGGTAAACGAGCTTTACTGGTATCAGAAAATGAATAGCAAAGTTTGTTCAGCTTTGAGCAGATAATTAAACTTGTGATTTCAGTGAACATAATCAGAAGCCCACTTTGTTATTCATTTATCAAAATACTTATGTGGCCCCATCATTATAAGCATTTTAGTTTCTTCATCTGTTTCTTGCTGTAATCATTCAAGTGTTTTCAGTAAATATTTGCTTTCAGCTATTAGTGTTTCATCTTTTGTTTGCTAAATATACTGCAAAATTTTAGTACTATTCATTGCAGCTGTAGCTGAGAGGAGATGGGACAAAGCGATTAGAAGCTAAATGTTGTACAGTTAATCTACTCCAGGGGGAATTCTGCACCATTGTGTAATGCAGAATTTGTGCGGAATTGGGCTGCTGGCTGCCAATGGGGCCACTGGACTCTAGGGATGTTAAGGTATGTCTACACTTGCACCCTAGTTCAAATTAGGGATGCAAATGTAGGCATTTGAAATAGTCAATGAAGCGGGGATTTAAATATCCCGTGCTTCAGTAGCATGATCTTGTTGGCATGTTACTCTGATCAACAGCTGTTTCGGAAGTGAAAGTGCGCGCTGCGATGCGTTGGTTCGAACTAACTTTACTCATTTTTTGTTTCACTTTCGAAACACCTGTTGATTGGAGTAACGCGCTGGTGAGATCATGCTAATAAAGCGTGGGATATTTAAATGCCCGCTTCATTGACTATTTCGAATGCCTACATTTGCATCCCTAGTTCGAACTAGGGTGCAAGTGTAGACGTACCCTTAGAATGCAACTGAATAGTCATGTAACTTCATCAAATTTGAGCAGTTACATGGTTATTCTATAATCCTCGGGGATGGGGATGGCCACCAGTGCACTTCTGTCCCTGAGCTCAGACCTCCCATGGACAGGGGATGCTGAGTGCTCTTCATTTAAAACTCAGATCGGTGATCTAGGACTGAGCCAGCATGCTGATCCAAATTTTAAATGCAGAGCACGCAGGGGAGAGGTATGATGTGGTTAACTGATGCAGTGGACATTAGGGACCTCAGCTGATTAACTGATAAGCCTGGATTTATCAGGTAATCTTGTCAACTACATGCATTTTCCCCAACCCTACCCCCCTGCCTGAGCTCGGTACAGACAGACTGCTCCACATCCCGGGCAGCTTGTCTGCGTATGGAGCTGGTGAAAGAGGCAGCAGTGTTGGGTTGCAGGGGGCTCACCGGGAGTGGAGCTGGAATGCACTGGCTGGGGACTATTCAATAATTGTGTAACCGCTAAGATGTCATGGTGTTATGACTATTCAGTAACACAATATTTAACATGCCTAATTTAGACCGTACGGAAGATAGTTTATTGGATTTTGCGCTGATAACTTTCCACTTAATTTTTAATTAGAAATTTCCTGACACGACTTGAACCCTGGTAGAGAAGAATATTGCAGAGAATGTAGCAGTATAAATGAGGCATATAGTTGAGGGGTTAATGTTTTATCAGAAAAAGACACACAATAAAGCTGCTAATTAGTAGTACTAAAAATCTTTATTAAAAGTCAATTAGTGTTTCCAATTTCACATAGCTTTTACTTTTGTACAGTCTACCACAACTTGTGTATTAAGGTTTTGCAGATGAACATTGAGCCTTAAATTAATCTGGTAAATAGCAAGACAAAAGTTACTAATACTGAAGATTTCAAATACTACATTTAAGACTTCTTAATTGGTTAACATAGCAATTGTTTTGGCTAAGTTGTTCGCAAACATTTCCCTTGAAGGGACTTGTTTTTCAACAGAAGTTTCAGGATCCTTTTCCCATCCTATAAAAGTGTGTGGTTGTAGTAGTTTGAGATCCGTTTATTATCACTTTTGGAGCAAATTTGTGATCCTCAAATTAAGAAATCAGGCTCATCTTTATTCCAAGACTAACAAGCTATGTAATGTCTGGGCTGTTTTGAAGGCATAGCGAGGACATAGTTCCAGTTAAAATGGGATGATGTAACCTAAAATAGCAGTCATCTATATGAAACTGATCAAACTCTCTTTTTCTACAGTGGTGGCTGAACACTCATCAAGAAGATTATTTACCTGAAGCTTGGAGTGATAGGGGGAAGCTTTTGTTTACTAATATTCCATAAGCCTGTATCTTGTTTGTTTACTGCTATAAACCAGGTGAAGATTTAAAATAAGCTTGATATTTGAGTTAGTCTTATTTCATTTTACTGCATCTATGAACTTTCTAGGCTGAGTAAATAAATTATCAGTGTGGTGGTAGCTGCACAATAAGTGAGAGGCCTGCCTTTCTTGGTTTATTGCTTTCATCACTAGAATAATTATTTACCTATTACGACTTTTGGCCCAGTATTAGGAGGCACTAAAAAAATCAACTCAATGTATTCATATGAAAAAAAGTTAACCTGTTGCCATTTTCCTATATTATGTCTTGTGCCGGGGGGGGCAGTGAACCCCTACAAAAAGGAATGTGGTTATATAAAGTAATGTCAAAAGCATAAAGCAAATTGAAAAAACTTCAGTCTCAGTTGAAAAAAATTCAGTCTAGTCTTTGAGTTGAAATAATCTTTGGTTTTACTTACAAAAAGTATGTTAGTTTTTCAGATCTTGTTCTAAATACCGTCTCATGAAGAGTCAACAATTGAAATACACACTTACAGATCACCACACAGTTGAGGGCCCTTATCCTTCCTTACCAAATGGACTTTACAGTGTCTTTGCAGTGCTTTTGAAGATGGTGCAACTTGACACTAACATAAGCACTAAATTTGCTGTACATAAGAACTTTTCAAATCTGATGATGTAACACAACATGTTTAGTATCTATTCTCTTTTGAATGACGTCCTATACGTTTTATTCCACCTTACATGAACAGATTCTTTAAAAGAAAATATACCAACTTGCTTATCAAGGTGGTCTCTTCAAATTTTCCTTTACAAATTAAAATGCAACCATAGCCAGTTGTATAAAGAACTTGCATGGACTTCTGCGTACAATGCTCATGCTGTTGTGACAAATTTAAACATTTTAATCAATACAAGGTTGCATCTTAACAGTTTACTAGCACTTGGTTAGTTTAATGTTGCTTACTTTCTAAATAGTACTTGACGCTGGGAAGCCACAGTAAAAGGGCAGCACAGACAGCAGTATTAAAGGAAACAGCCTGGTATTCTAAGAGTCACTGTAGTGGTATTAATCATTGCTGTTCTCTAAGCTTTGCAGCTGGCTTTTAACTTTACTTCACTTGAGTTATGTTACTAAACAGTGGGGCAGACCAACTTGTTCTAGTCACCATTAAACAGCAAAAGGTTTGTTTACTTACAACAGTGCTGTATTATAGTACTTGTTTTAAGTCAAATACACACACAAACTTTACACTATCAATTAAATTTTGACTTGTGAAGGGATTTTGATCACTAGTATTAGTTCCATGTTGATTTAACAGTAATAAAACCTAATTAAGACCTGCTCCTGCAAGGAGTAAGCGTAGGTCAGTTTGTGCCATTTTTAGTCCTGTTCAGTGACTGTTGGTTTAGGAAGTGCATATATCCTATGCCTGGAACTTGAGTGAGGTATTCAGTCAGTTTTCTACTATCTTCCTAAAAGTGTATTTACTCTTGCCATAATTCTGTTTTTTGTTAGTGAAATTTTCCAACATGTTTAAAGTCTTTGGTCAGCTGAAAAAAGGCAGTTGTAGTCTTAAGCATTTTGCTAATTTTTAATACCCATTGTCCACAGCAAAGGTTTAGCTGTCTCTATGGTCACAACTCCAGATTCATCGTACGTATTTGAAGTGCTGACAAGCGTTCCAAACTTTAGCACATGGTTAGCTGTAAATAATAAAAATAGTTTAGGTAAACATCAGGGGAAATTTTGCAGTGGCATTTTAAAAAACAAACTGTTAAATAATCAAATGAAATGACATTTATATCCTCTCTGGCTTAAGTGGTTTCAATTTCATGTTGACTGCAATGAAAACAATACAGCTGGTCCCCAACTTACAAACGAGTTACGTACCAAACACTAGGTCGTAACTCGATCTGTTCGTAAGTTGGATTACATTCACTAACGTACGGCCACACTGTTCGTAAGTGTGGATTTCGTTTGTAACTCGGGTTCTGGCTGTATAGGAGGTTGGTCGTAAATACAAATGGTCGTAAGTTGATCCGTTCGTAATTCGGTGACCGGCTGTATACAGGCAGTCCCCAGGTTACGTCAGTCTGACTTAAGTCAGACCCCTAATTACGAACGGGGGGGAGGGCGCAACTAGTGCGGGGTGCCTCCCCCACTATCGCCGCCTCCGGCAGTGCGGGGGGCACTTCCCCCCAGCAGACCAGGGAGATGCGGAGCGGCTTTTCTCGCCGCGGAGGACGCGGGCGGTGGGACCGCGGCACGTCTGGGCGGTCCCGCCGCCCGCATCCTCCGGGGCAAGAAAAGCCCCGTTCATAAGTACGGATCCGACGCTAGTCAGATCCACGTAACTCGGGGACTGCCTGTAATCCACTAAAATTTTATTATCTGAGGGCAATTGGATGGCCCAACATTGCATGAGCCTTTGATGTCTGCAGGAATTAAGATGTCCTGGCATTCCAATTCCATAATGTCCGCATTTTTTAGTGTGACCTACCCATGCCCGCTTTGTACCTCTATCCCTAGTTTTTGCTCCCAATCCATTCTATCTGTATTTAGGAAACCAAATGGGCCTTTATCCCTTCCAAAACTTCTCTCCTTTATACCATTGTGCACCACCACTGATTTAAGTCTGTATCTGAACGGCATGATTGAACCCTTTAAAAGCACCTACTACATAAAATTTGAAGTAACTTGATTTAGTTTTAGGTGTTGTTTCTCTTCCTCTCTCAAAATGTTGGGCACACTCTTAAGCAGACAGTGCTGATTCATTGAAAGTCAAGGAATGTCACTTTCCAGACAGCATTTTTGATTTCCTAAGTGTCCAGAGCAGTATGTGAAAGGTCTTTTTGTGATTTGTTGATGTAAAAGTGCATGATGATAGTAGACACCCTTTGTACTCTTAATAATCCCTATATATCCTTTTATTCCCTCTTGCAGCTATATATGCCATTTCAGAGGAAATTCTGCATACTGTAAAATACAGTCAGTCAAAGCACAGACCAGCAACAGAAAATAGCTTCTGTGTGTTTAAATTTTATTTTTCTGCATAAACTAATTGAAAATAACATTTGGTAAGAGAATCCTTCATCTTTCTGTATAGGTCAAATTAAGCTTTAGTTTAAACATAGTTATCAATTCACATTTAAAATTACTGGTGATTTTGAAAGGCAGTTGAAGGAAACAAGTTACATGAGTCAAGTACGCTTTTGGCCAAGAGTATTTCCTAAAATATAGGCATTGTTTGCTTTTGGAATGAAGAAAACTGAAAGACAGAAGAAAGCTGTTTTAATAATTCATAGCAATAAGTTTAGGAAGGGAACTGAATATAGTAGCCAACTGAAATTCCTGCAAGGGGCATTTTAGACAAGCAGCTCTATAGTCACTCAAGTTGGAATTTGGTCAAGATAACAGCACTGATTCCTTTCCACTTGCATGAAGTATCACCAAAGGTCAGTATGATTAAAATAAGAGAAAAGTTATACACCTTTACCACCACCTTTCCACCAAAAGTTGGGGGTGTATTTATACCTTTGCCACTTATCTTCCAAGGAAGAGGATGTATACCACATGCATTGCATATCAACATCACTATGGTCATTAAAACTAGAAAAATAATTATTTTTAGCTGGAGCTGAGATACATCAGCAAAACTTCACATAGCAAAGTTTGGGAACCCCTGTTCTAAGCAATTTCTTTTCTAGCTGAGCTATTCAGGAAGTAGGGTTGCCAGGTGTCTGGTATTGACCTGGATAGTCCACTATTTTTGCCTCCTGTCCGGTAAAAAAAATTCAGAAAATACCGGACACCCCCCAGCCAGAAGGTGAAAATCCAGGGGAGCTGTCTGGCCTGGTGCAGGAAGGCAAGATGGCAGACGGCTGCCAGCAACCTGTTAGGGCCAAAAAGCCTCAAAGCAGTTCCTAAAGGTGCCACGCTGTTTAATTATTTTATTTATTTTTATTTTTTTGCTCAACTTTGGTGTGTCTTTTTTTTTTTTCCTCAACAGAACTTTTTCCCCGGTAGGGGGTGCGTGCGTTTGGTATTTTTGGTTAAACCATCTGGCAACCCTATTAGAAAGTGAGCATGTTCAATGTTTAGACAGATAAAATAGGGGCAAAGGCTGCTGTCTATTATTGTTCTAGGTTATCTTCTACTTGAAGTGGTTCACTTCCAGGGACAGAAACAGCTTCTTACATTATATAAAGATTATAATTATATGCATATTTTAACACCAGTAAATCCTGTATCAGTTTCTGCTTAGCCAAGATTATCCTCAGTTTCTGCTAACTTGTCACAAGGATAAGTCCATTACAAGCCATTTCAAAAGGGAAATATTAACAAGATGTGCTTATTTTATCCATCAGTTACATTACTATGAGCTGATGGGTAAAATAGGCACATAATCTACAAAATGGTAGAATGATCTACATGGCAAGATACAGGAAGGGGTAGAGACAAGACTCTCTGTGGGTGATCTCTTAGCTCTATCAACTCATGCAGCAAAAATGCATTGTTTTTGATGGATCTGAAGTTGAACCCCTCTGCATTTGCAATTAAGTGGCCCAGTAAAAATGAGAAAAAATTTTGCTTTCTGGGAACCTAGTGTGGAAAGTAACATGTATTGACTGAGTAATGGGCTGCTTTTTCTGTGGCCCAAGGCCCAAAGAAAATAAAATGCCAATTGTGGACATCAATGAGGGCTGGACAGTTCATGTGTACCCATCAGAACTCATCAACTCACAAATCTAAGGCAAAGCTATGTGTTGTCTTCATTGTCTCAAAAAGTAGGACAGGCAGGAACTAGGGCTAACTTTTTATAATACTTACTTTAAAGTAATAATTCCCCAAGTCAAATCTTGAATTGCTATTCCAATGGCTGCTACCCTCACTTCAGTTGCTCGTTTGGAATTGTTGAGTTGAGGCTTCAACACTGAACCAGGTCAGTGTTCAGTATATTAATGTCCAATCCACAT